AACAAAAAAAAAAAAAAAAAAAAAAAAAAAAAAAAGGCATAGTTATCTTCATTTAAACAGAAAATTCCATCCTTCCATTCACTCAAGAGCCTACTTCATAGAAAGGGGAAAATGCAACTAGGTAGCAGCACCGGTAAGTGAGGGTTCAGTCCTGAAGTTTGCGCTCACATTTCTTCTCCAGATCTGCCATCTCCTTCAGGACCAGAGCCACACTATACCGCAACTCCTGGAACTTGGCCATGGGGACCTCAAAGCGGTGTGCTGACCCATCTGAAAGCTTGAGCTGCATCAGCACACTAGGCTGCAGGGATCGGGCCAGGGTACTTGTAGAGATTGCCACATCTACCCTCCACCGAAAGTCAGCAAGGTGGGGCAGCCAGGCCCCCTGCTGTTGGGCCACAGAGTCCAGGAGGGGGCGCTGACCCCCAAACACCACACTGACCAAGTCTCCAACTAGGTCTTGGGGGATGCCAAGCTCCTGGAGTTGGTCCCTGAAGGCATCTGGCTTCAGGCTGGTGGGGGGCAGCCGGAGAGCCTGCTGGAGCAATGTGTGTGTTCCTGCAAGCAGGGCACCCAGTCGCTCCTCTGATAGTTTGGCACTGGAACCAAGGCATTGTACGGCCTCTTGGCAATCCTCCCCCTGAAGGCTGCTGACCACAAGCTTTAGCAACTTCCTGAACATGCTCCTGTCCAGTTCCTCTAGTAGTCGGGCCATTGCTGCCACCTGTGGAGGAAGCTGGGCCCCCAGGAAATTGACCCGGCCACTGTGACTGTCAGCAGGATGATGCAGGTACAGAGCGGCAGCCCCCAAGGCAGACATCACTGCTTGCTCTCCTTGATCAGCCCAGTAGAGACGTCCCAACCTCAGCTGCCTGGAGGGAGAGGGAAGAGAAAAGGCTAGTGACTTCTTTAGGGCCTCAAAAGACTAGAAAATGAAAACTGACGTAGTCCCATATGAATGACCAGAGACAGTGAGTGTGATGGGCACTAAGGTAGATGGCCTGGGAATGAGTAGCAAAGGGACTTACCTCAGATATCCCAAAGAAGGTAATATCTGAGATTAGCAGGAGTTAACAGAGGAGTGGACAGGGAAGAAAACCACACATAAACCCTGTAATTAAGTAACAAATACAATGAACTTCCAGTCCAGAAAGGAGTGAAAGGGGGTGGTGGTGACTAGGACCCAACAGCTGAGACCCCAGGCCCACATTCGGAGCTCTCACAATATCTATCAGCACAAGGTCCCGAGCTCGATCCCCGGTACAAGTTAACTAGTCTCTACATGCAAATGCCAGCCAAGAACGAGAGCCCAGAGGGCGCGGCTCCCACAGACCCGTGCAGTCTCCACACAGAAGGGGCCGGGCACACAGGAGTATGCCCGGCGATGACTAAGCGGGCTGTGACACTACCAGAGGGACCGCACAGCATCCCCGGGAAGGAGGCAAAGTGGCCCATACACCTGAGCCCGGGGAGGGAAGCAGATAGCGAGGACCACAGCCCAGACCTCAAGCGGCCTCGTCAGGATCCGCTCCAACCTCCCACGCCTAACCTCTGCCACCGGGTCCTGTCTCCGTGCCTGGAAAGACAACCCGAAGACCCCACAACCCCAAATCCCTAACAACCTCCGCACCTGACGCGAGCGGTCCGCAGCTGCACTTCACCGGCCGGAAGCGGAATCATTCCGAGGAAGAGCGACAGAGCCACTTCCGATCCTCTCTAGGAACACTGGAGGCCCCTTCTCGGTGGTGCGTGGCTCCAGGTCCTGTCCTTGCGTGTTCCCTTTTGCCCAGTCCTCTGACACTTAAATGTTTTCAGAGAAAAGAATATCGAAAGCCCTTTTGTTTCGGCTTCTGAGGCGGAAGCAGAGACAGTGCTCGGCATGAATGCGCCGATGCCAAGGTTCGCATACCCGAGAAGAGGAATGGAATTTGAAGAAGCTGAGTCTACAGATCAAATTGACCTTGGCCAGGGACCCGGAAGTCAGCATCCCCACCCCCGTCCTGTCGCGGGGCAGCGCCGCGCCCGCGGTCTTCTCGATGTCTCTGATGACCGGACTCCTGTGGGTGACCCCGTTCTCTTTGACGTGGTTTGCTGGACCCAGTTAGAAATAGGGTCAAAACAGTGTCCTCGCATAAATTTTAACATATTTCACTCCAATTCTTAAAAATAGCATTAATAGCAGAGGCTTCAGCTCAGTGGCACCGCGCGTGCCTTGCAAGTGCAAGGTCCTGTGTTCATCCCGGGTAAAAGGGGATGTCTATATATATTTAATAGACCCAAACTGTTGAAATGGGTAAATTCTATGGTACGTGTATTGTAGTTAAATAAAGCTATTTTTAACTCAGTGAAAACTAAAAAATGCCTATTAACTAAATGGGCAAAAGATTGGAATAGACGTTACATCAAAAGCATATAAAATGGCTACCAACAAGCATATGAGATGTTTAGTTTCCTTTGTGTTAGAGAAATTGAAGTCACAAGAAGGTGCCATTTCATATCTTTAGAAGGTGGTGGCACCCGCCTGTAATACCAGCACTTAGGGGAGGCAGAGGCAGGAGGAGCATCCTAAATTTGAGCCAGCCTGGACTACAGAGGAAAAACACTTTTCAAAAAACCAAAACAGTGGGCCAGGTTTTCTCTCAGTGGTTCTGCCGCCTGCCTTGTTAAATCTTGGAACCTGCCTAAATGCCCAACAACTGATGAATGGATAAAGAAGATATGGGTTTTTTTTTATACAGTGGAGTACTATTCTGCCATAAAGAATGACCTTCAGGGCCGGGGATATAGCTGAGTGGTTCCACCGCCTGTCTTGCAAGCACAAGGACCTGGGTTCAATCCCCGGTACCAAAAAAAAAAAAAGAATGACCTTCAGACATTTATAGCTAAATGGATGGGCCTTGAGACCATACTCTTAAGTGAGGTAAATTGGACACGTGTTTAAATACCACATTGTTTCATTGGTGTGAGAAAACTAAAGTGCAAACAAGGAATAAAGTGTATAATAGATACTGTGAAATAGGAAGAAAATGTTCAAATGGGAAGGGGACAAAGGAGCGGGGAGAGAGGAAAGAAGGAAGGGAAAAGAAAAAAAGCAAAAATAGAAGGTAAAATGGAAACAAAGCTTTTGATTATAGGGAGGGGAGGAGGGCTTCAGGGAGGAATGGGGGGAAAAGAAGAGGCAGGATATATCATATACAGATGCAAATTCCCTATGAGTGTTATCATTATGTATGTCTAAAATGCACAAATAAATATTTTGCTGTAAAAAAAAAAGTGGCAATGCATGAAGTGTTCCTGTGTTTTATGGCGGCATATGCTATTTTGAGAAAAGATTTAAATTTTTATATCTTCTTGGAATATAATCAAGGTTTGAGTGTTCAAGGAAAGTTGAAAAGAGAAACTTGAAGATTTATTTAAAAACACTGTTAAATCAGCAAATGGAATTATTGTTTCAGAAGTAAAGGATATAGATAATATTTTTTAAGCATGAATGAACATTCCTTTCAGATTACCACAATTGAGTTACTCTGCTAAATCTGAGAAGATGACACGATCCCACAAAAGTGCTGCAGATGATTACAATAGAATTGGCTCTTTAGAAACTCAGGATTCTACAAATACATACCACTTTTTTCTCAAAGCTTCAGAACTGTTTGATAAAACAAGAAAAATAGAAGCACAAGAATCTCCTGGTGAAGACCTAAAACTTGCTCATCTTTTAAAATATTACTATTTTAAAATATTAATATTAAGAGAAAATCAACTAAGCATTTCCTCTATCAAAGGTCTCTGTCACTAGTGGATTATTAAAATGCTAATAAGCCCTGGATAAAGCACAGGCAAAAAATCAAGATGTTCTTCAGGCTGAAACTTCCAAACAATTGTGTTCTCAGAAGTTTGGAAAAAAATATCTGAATCTTCAACACAAGAAATTACAGTATTTTTTGTTTTGTTTTGTTTTTAAACTAGAGGTCAAACTTGGGACCTTGTGCTTGCAAGGCAGGCAGTGGCACCACTGAGCTAAATCCCCAGCCCAAGAACTTACAGATTTTCAAGACAGAAAGGAAGAAAAAAAAAAAAAAAAGAAGGAAAAGTAGATATGCAAGGAGAATGCTACTGACAAACTTCCAGTAGTTTTACTACAAATGTTATTGGCCTTCTAATGTGAATGAACATTATTGTCATTCCTGGCTTACGTTTAGACTGAATGGCTGGGCATAATGGAACATGGCTATCATCTCAGAATTTGGGAGGGTGAGGTAGGAGGATTGCCATGGGTTTGAGGCCAGCCTGGGTTATCCAGTGAGTTCACAGCCAACCTGAACTACATAGCAAGACCTTGTCTCAAAAAAAAAAAAAAAAAAAAAAAAAAAACAACAACATAAAATTAAGTCAGACTAAATGGCTGGATTTTTCCACTCTTTCTAAATTTTCTCCTATTTAGAAACCAGAGGCGTTTGGGTTTCTAGTTTACATTTACTCAAACCATTCTCGAGATTGCCTGGTCTGTGTCTTCTCAATGTCCTGATGATTCCAGCCTTTCTCAGCATATTCTCTTGCTCACATATGTGCTGACATATGTCTATCTCTTTAATTGACATGCCCCTTAATGCTGTTTCAACTGTTAATTTCGTTTTTGGGTGAGAGATCTGTGTGTTTTTTCCTTCATGTAACTTTCAGTGGTAAAATATGCCCATGTAACATCCAATAGTGGGTGAACACAGGACTGAGAGCCCTAGCATCTGCACTCAGGTCCCATCCTTCACCAGCTGCCCTATGGATTCAAGCAGCTTAGGGCTTGACTTTTGTCTGCCTCAGTTTACTAAAAGACATGTTGACCTACCTCACAGGGGTGTTGTGAGGATTAATACATGTCTGTACTGTGCTTTGGGTGGAAAAAGAAGAAAGGAAACTTGGAGCCACAAAGAGACCTCAGGGATTGAAGTGCACAGCGGAAAGTTGAAGTGAGGATATGGCAAGAAAGCTGACACCTGCAAGCCAATGAAAGAGATATCAGGAAAAACCAAACCTGCAAACACCTTAATCTTGAACATCTAGACTCCAGAATTGTGAGGAGTGAACTTTCTATTGGTTAAGACACCCAGCATTTTGTTACAGCAACTGGAGTTAAGACATGGGGACACACGATGTGATTTGTTCCAAGTAAGGCTTCTTTCACTCAGCATGTTTCTGTGAGTCACTCATATTGTTGCTTACTATCAGTAATTTGTTCCATTTTATAACTCAGTAGGATAAATGCCAGCTCTTATATGGATGGACACCAGTTATATTTCCCAAATTTGCCTATTTTAAATAGAGCTGCCATAAACTTTCAGAAATAAGTTTTCTGTGTATGTATTCATTTATCTTGGGTATGGTCAGGAGTGAGGTTGCTTGGTCAGAATACGTATATATTTAGTTTTCTAAGTACATGATTATTTATTTGGAGCTGTTACCATTTTATACTCTTATCAAAAGCATCAAACAGCTGGGCATGGTGGCACATGCTTGTAATCCCAGCATTTGGGAGGCTGAGGCAGGAGGATCACTGCATGTTCAAGGTAAGCCTGAACTACATAGTGAGACCTTGCCTCAAAAAAAAAAAAGTATCAAAGAATTCCACGTGTTCCACATCCCCACCAACATTTAGACCTGTTGACTTTAAACATTATCTGTCCTGGTAGGTGTGTGGTGTTTTCTCACTCTGGTTTTGATTTTCATTTCCCTAATAATTAGTGATATTGTGCATTTTTTTCATGTGTTCAGTGAACATTCATGACTCTTCTACTTGAAAGGATTGTTCATGCCACGTGTGGTAGTGCACATCTATAATCCCAACACTCTGGGAGCCTGAGACAGAAAGTTCACAAGTTTGAGCCCAGCCTGGGCAATTCAGCAAGACCCTACCTCAAACTAAAAAAATTTAAAAGGGCTGCAGATATAGTTCAAAAAGGGCTGTAGTTTAGTGGGAAGATCTTCATTACAAAAAATACATATTTGAAAAGATCATACATCATAACCAGACTGGTACATCCCAGGAATGTAAGGATGGCTTGACATATTAAATCAATAAATGTAATATACCATTTGTATGATTTGATCTAAAATGGCCCCCAAGGGGCCAGGGATTTAGTTCAGTGGTTCTGCTGCCTGTGCTGCAAGCGCAAGTTCCCAAGTTTGATCCCCAGTACCCCCCCAAAAAGGTCCCCAAAGCCTTATGTGTTTAGAAGATAACTGGATTATGGGGGGACTACAGCTGACATGCTATTTTAGGAGGGTCTTTTCAGAAGAGGTGGGTCACAGGGTAGTAGGGTTTGTGTCTAGATGTCCTCCCAAGCCTCATGTGGTCATAGGTTTTTTCAGAGGTGGCTTAATCTAGGGTGAGCGCTCTTGGAGATCTTGATTGCTGGGAAGGAAAAGAACAGAAAGAATGGCCTTAGGTTATCACCAGAAGCAACAGGACTCCACCCTTTGCAGCCTCAAAATTCCAAATGTGACAGACTCTGCTTTGAGAAGAGAAGCCCCAGACACCATGATCCTCAGGATTTGGTTCATAGGTACTGGACCCCTACAGTGAAGAGAGAAGGAATCCTGGCTTTTGCTCAAGCTGGCAGCAGACCTTGGCATCAGCCACATAGTGCTGGTTTTAGGTACATGCCATTGTGGGGTCAGAAAGGCTTCCATTCAGATTTCAGAAGAAGGCCTCGGAGACCTGGCAGTGTGTCCCTGAGCAGGCCATGTGTGAAGCTGTGAGTGTGAAACTGAAGTTCCAGTAAAGACCCCAAAGTTTAGAAAAGCCAAAAATGTAGATCATCTGAGGAAAACTGCAAAGAGAGAGCAGAGCTGGCCCCAGATAAAAGACAAAAGAGCTATAGCCACTGGAAGCACCATAGGGGCAGAGCCACCTGAGCCCTTTGGAGTTCACATCTTGCCACAAATTGCCTTGGATTCTAGACATGGAACTATAGAACTTTGTGTTTGCCCTGCTGGATTTTGGACTTCCTTTGATCCCATTCCTGTGTATCTTATCTTTGTACCTTTTGGAATGGAAATGTCCACCCTGTGCCATTGAATGTTGGGAAGTCTTTCTTTTTATTTGTATAAGGGCTTACTGCTAAGAGTTTGCCTTAAATCTCAGATGAGACTTTGGACTTGGACTTTTGAGCAATGCCAAAACTGTTAGCACTTAGCAACTCTTAGAGAACTAAATACCTTTTGCCTAAAGGGGTGTGTATGATTTTTGAGGGGCTAGAGGCAGAATGTTATGTCTTGTGTTTAGATGTCCCCCCAAAGCCTCATGCAAATAAGGTGAGGCTTTTCAGAAGTGGCTGGATCTAGAGTGTGTGATGCTAAAATTGATTCAGGGTGCAATGCTAGGCTCAAGGGCACTAGGATTAAGGTTGTGAATGCTACCTGCCCTAAGTAATCTGAATAAAAGGGGCAGAAAGACACTGTTAAGCTCCCTTGTTGCTTTGCTACCTTCAGTCCACCATGAATTGTTTCTGTGCCATGTACCACTCTGACTTGGAGCCAGTTGATTATGGACTGAAGCTTCCACAATCTGTGAGCTAAATAAATCTTTCCCTTTTTAACTTTGGGTATTGGGTATTTTGTCTCAGCAACGACAAGAGTAACTAAGGAAATGTAAATCAAAACCACACTGAGATTCTATCTCACCCTCATTAAAATGGTTATTTCCAAGAGTACAAAAAACTGAGTACTGGCAAGGATGTGGGAAAAAGAAACCCTCTTACACTGCTGATGGGAATGTAAACTCGTACCACTGTGGAGATTCCTCAAAAAAAAAATATGCAATATGATCCAGCTCTACCACTCTTTGGTATACTACCAAAAGTATTAAAGACAATAACATAGTGATGTGTACATACACATATTTATAGCTGCACAATTCACAGTACCTATGATATAGAAGCATCCTAGATGCCTATCTATAGCTAAATAAAGGAAATATGGTGTACATACACAATGGAGTTGTCCACCATAAATAAGAATGAAATTATGTCATTTAATAAAATGTCTTTAAAAATGTCATTTGCAGGAAAATAGATGGAGAACTCAGGACATCATGTTAAGTGAAATAAACCAATTTCAAAAAGCTGAACTGCATATTATCTTTCATATGAGCAATTTATAAATAAGTGAATAAATGAGAGATGAGAGAAAACTAGAAGGTAGTCTTAGATGAGAAAAGGGGTCAGGTGGAGGAGGTAGGAAAGAGAGGCACATATAAATATGCCAAGATGAATCTCATTATTGTGATGTTAATATATACCAACTTAAAAAAGGGAGGGGCTGCGCTAAAGTGCCTAATGGACTGACCACTGATACTCAGGCCACAATGTCCAGAGGTCTGGGGAAGTGGCCTCCCAACAGAGACCTGAACTGGGACTCTGAAGACTCTGTTACAGGGGTAAGATAAAGCAATTTATAACATATCTTGGAAGGGCTGATGGGGTAAGCTGGGCATGCTGGTAAACACCTCTAATTCCAGCTACTTGGGAGGCTGAAGCAGAAAGACTTAGTTTGATACCAGCCTGGGCAACTTAGTGAGAACTTGACTCAAAATAAAAAGGTTTGAGGCCCGGCGTGGTGGCACATGCCTGTAATCCCAGCACTCGGGAGGGTGAGGCAGGAGGATTGCTGTGAGTTCGAGACAAGCCTGGGCTACATAGTGAGTTCCAGGTCAGTCTCAACTATACAGTGAGACCCTGTCTTGAAAAAACAAAAAGAAATAAAATAAATAAGAAGGTTTGAGAATGTTGCTCCATGGTATTGGACCCCTGGGTTCAACTACCAGTGCCACCACCACCACCAAAAAAAAAAGTCTAGTTAATCCTGCCAAGCATGACCATCAAGGAGGTGACACAGAAGGAAAAGAATGCTTCAGTGTTCAAAATGGCTTATCAGAAGCCTTCTAAGCATACATTAACACCAACCCAGAATCAGTGTAGGAAAGATCCTTAATAGTCATGCATTTCATGGTGTAGGCTGTTCCAGATATTTGAAGGATGGTACAGAAGTAGGACCACAGACCCTACTGCCAACCTCCCCTGTGCACAAATTTACACAAGTTAGCTCAAGGTTTCAGAAGGTTTGGCCCAGGGTTGGCTGGTTCCAAGGCAGAAATAGCATGACAGAAGGGCACAGCAGAGTAAAGCTGCTTGATTTATGGTGGCCAGAAATCAGATACAGTTCTCAAGGTCATGGCTCCATGACCTACCCAGCAACACCTAGAAGTGTGCTTTACTAATCTGCTACCTGTCCCTTAACAAAACTAAGATGGGCCAGGCCCCTGCAGCAGGAATCCCAAGTCTAGAAAACCTTTTTACCTCCACAAGGGCAGAACTGTCTCCTTGGAGACTGTATTTCAAAGATATTGCTCTCAGGCCCTAGTAGGTATTTATATAAAATAGGTTCACAGAGCACTTGTCACTAACTTATTTCCACCCTGAGACAAAACACAATCATACACAGCAAGTTGCATGTGACAGCCATTACTTTTAGCCAGCCAGGGACAACAGAAACCTCAGATCCACTGATTTCTCACAACTCAATAAACCTGTCCTAGAGAATGGAGTCTCAACTGTATATGCCCCACTGGCACCACAGCCAAGAAACCTCACAGGGCAGCTGTCTGGGACACCCAAGGACAACAGGACACTCTGGGTAAAACTTTGCAAACAGAAGCTGCTTTCAGAGGAAAGGGTAACAAAGTGCTGATTTACAAGAGGGTACACTTATGGTCTAGATCTAAAATATCTCGTGTTCAGAGATGGGCTTTCAGAAAGTGGTAAGATCATGGATGTGCTATATTCATTGGTAGACTGATCCTTTGATGAGTGCACAGCTGATTATGCTGTTAGGAGGTGGGTAGTAAAGTGGACATGGGTCACTGCCCCCTCTTGTTTGCTGGCTGCCATAAGCTTCCTTCCACCATGACCTTCTGCCATGTTATTTCTGCCTTGGCATGGACTGAACATTCTGAAACCATGAACCAAAATCAACCTCTCCTTGAGTTGTACATGTCAGGCATTTTGTTCCAGTAATGAGAAAGGTGATTAATACTCATAGACTACAACGAAGCCTATGGGTCTCGCTAGGATATGCTCACAGCTGGATGACCAGGATCTTGGGAGAAAGACAGGCCAACACTGTCCTTGTCCTCACCCTGCCATAGGAGGCTGTGGATTGTAGCCTCTGGTAGTTTAGAAGACAAACCCCAGTGGTCCCAGCCTATGTTGGTTAGATTAACCAGAGTGAATGCTGGAGCAAGAGACTCAAGTAAAAATGCAATTTCAGCCCCCAAACTGCCTGGCCCTGGCAGAACACTGTGCTTTGCCACAGATCCAAGCTTCCCTATATTCTTATGGTGTGATCCAAGAGTGTAAGTTGAAGGTGCTGTCCTTGGGCCATCTCTTGAGGTTGTCAGTGGAGGGGGGGTACCCCAAGGAGGCAATGCCCTTAGCTCCCAGCAGAGGTCTAGCTTCTCAAGAGTGGCCCCTTCCTCACCCATCTTTGTCAGACATCACACCTGCTGTATAAATGAATGCATCTAGTAGGGCCCTTTGCCTGTGGCACACAGTCAGCCAGGGAGCCCATGAGGCCCTGATTACTGCTCCAAGTATTCTACCTGCCATCTCCAGATCCCTGAGACAGCAACAAGTTCTGTATGGCCTTGAGGAATGAATCCTTGTAGTTTCTGGTTCTAGCTGTTCCAAGGAAGTATCATGCAGTATAAGCAGCATCTCCTGATCTCTCTGGGTAGGTCCCTTTAGAGACTGAACACAAACAAGACGGTCATCTACCTGGGGAGAAGGGGACTGTGCCCATATAATGGGCATGGCTGCATGTGCTGACAGCCTGGGTTGTGTAGTGAGAGGATGAGTGCTCGTTTATTTCTGTGCTAATCTCTGGCCAGGCTCATGAATTCATGTTCCTGTATTGAATTCTCATTATGAGATAATACATCAAGCTCAGAATTTCAGGAAGGCAGAGAAAGCCTGGATCACCCTGCAAGAACCTGGACCCCATGTGTGACTTTGGAAGCCTTGCAAGTCACTTGGAGTTTGGATGTGGGATCTGTGAATACAACGCACACCTAGATGTACTCAGGACCTAGCTGCCTCCCAAGGGGATAGAACTGGGCCCTGGGTGACTAATGGGGGATGAGTATGAAGACTAGGCATCAGATGAAGCTGTCAAAAGTAAACATGGTTTTGGACATAGCGAAAACATTCTTATACTGTTGAAATCATTCTAAACCACTGATTCCCAAGGAAAAACACTTTTGGTAATGTCTTAAACCTGCTGTTTGGCAAGGTTTATACATGCTCCTCACCTGCAGACCCTGGGGTCCACCCTCTGTACTAAGCTCTAAACTCTCAAGTAAAAATTGCACCCTGAGTGCAACAGTCATAGGCTTTATTGAAAAGATGTCAAACATTTCAGCAAGTAAGCATACATTTTGTATGAAGCTGGATATTGATTTTAAGAGAACAATTCTGAATTTTCATCAAGAGTCTAAGTTCTTGCCAATATAAACAGTCTCATATAAAATTAAGTGTTGATTTTTTTTGGGGGGGGTACCAGGGATTGAACTCAGGTCCTTGTGCTTGCAAGGTAGGTGGCAAAACCATTGAGCTAAATCCCCGGCCCCTAAAGTTATGTGTTTTAAGGCTGCAGATTTATTCACATTTATACCAATAAATGGTTCATCCCATGTGAATTTTCTGATGTTGAGTAAGCCTTGAGCTCCGATTAAAAGCTTTGTCACAGTCATTACATTTGTAAGGCTTCTCTCCCGTGTGAATTCTCTGATGTATAATTAAATGTGAGCGCCACCTGAATATTTTCTCACAGTCATCACACTGATGCAGTTTCTTTATAGTGTTCACTTTTTTACGGCTCACAAAGGTGGGCCCTTGCAGAGTGTTCCCATATTCATAGTACCACTGGGCTCTTGTATGTATTCTCTGGTGTTCAATAAGATATGAGCTCCGACTGAAGGCCTTTCCACATTCATTACACTCATAGGGCTTCACTCCGGCATGAATTATCTGGTGTTGGAAAAGGGTTGAGTTTTGACTGAAGGCTTTCCCACATTCATTACACTTATATGGTCTCTCCCCAGTGTGGACCCTTTGGTGGATAGTGAGCTGTGTGCTCATACTGAAGGCTTTTCCACACTGAAGGCATTCAAAGGGCTTCTCCCCTTTATGGATTCTCTGATGGTAAATGAGGCTGGAGCTCTGGCTAAAGGCTTTTCCACAGTCATTACACACATAAGGTTTTTCTCCAGTGTGGATTCGCTGATGCTGAATAAGATGTGAACCCTGGACAAACCCTTTCCCACAGTCATCGCATTTAAATGGTTTTTCTCCAGTGTGAGTTCTCTGATGGCGAATAAGCCGTGAACTACAACCAAAGGCTTTTGTACATTTGTTGCATTTATAAGGTTTCTCTCCAGTGTGAATCAGCTGGTGCTGACTCAAGCGAGAGATCCACCTAAAAGATTTCCCACACTCACTGCACTTAAAGGGCTTCTCCACAGTGTGACTTCTCTGATGTGCAATAAGGCTTGGACATTCTGAGGCTCTTAGGATTTGTGATTTCTCTGCAATATGCATCCTCTGGTGCTGAGCTAGAGTTGAGCTCTGGCTGAAGGCCTTGCCACACTCCTTGCACAAGTAAGGCCTTTCCCCAGTGTGAGTTCTCTGGTGTCTGACCAGCTGTGACTGCTGGCTGAAGGCCTTGCCACACTCACGACAGCTGTAGGGCCTTTCACCAGTGTGGATTCTTTGATGATGGATAAGGCTTGAGCTCTGACCAAAGGCTTTGCCACATTCCTCACATCTGTAGGGCTTCTCTCCAGTATGAATTCTTTGATGCTGAATAAGTTTTGAGCTCAGGCGGAAGGTTTTTCCACACTCAACGCACTTAAATGGTTTCTCTCCAGTGTGGATTCTCTGGTGCTGGTGGAGCTGTGAGCACAGCCTGAAGACTTTTCCACACTCCTCACACTTGTATGGCTTTTCCCCACAACACTTACCTGGAGGATTTCCCTGGAAGCAGTCAGGTAACTGTTCTTGACACTGCTGACATCTGTGAGGTTTCTCTTGGTCCAAAGCCAGGTCTACAGAGCGTCTGAGACCTCTGCCGCACATCTCACATCTCTGCAACCCTTCTGCACCGTCTCTCTGATGTATCTCAGGCTGATGATATAGATCACTGGCATTCAGTTCTCTGTGTTCATGGGCAGTGTCCTTGGTGACAGTCTTGGGAACTGCAGTCCGCTTCTTCAAATGGTGCTTTGCGAAGAGGGAGCCTTTCACCATTAGCCCAAAACTGCTTGAATGCCTCTCTGACCAGACTTCAGAATTGCAAGTGTCTCCACAGCCAGGACCCTGAGATTTGAGAATACTGATGTCCTCACAGTCCTGCTTACACTCAGATTTAATGGTAGAATCTGAAACAATCAGGAAATACAAATCCTGAGAAAGGATTAAGACTATGAGAAGTAGGTGGAAGTCCAAACTTCCCAGGCAGGCTATGTCCAGCTGTGACACAACCTAAATAGAAACATGGTAAGGAGATCCTTGGAGAGTTCTCAATGTGGCTTCATTTACACCCTACTCATTCACTAACAAGGATGAAGTGCTCCTCTCTATTAGGCAGAGTGCTGAGAGTTGCATGACTTAAGAGGGGTTTGTGAGCAGGGGTCCACCCCAGAAGGGGTTTTGGAGCAGGTTTGGAGGATGCCAAGTGCAGGTGGACAAATCGAACATAAAGAGTAAAGAGTCTGCCAAGAAGGATTTGGTTGGGGATGGGTATGTCAGAGGCCCCCAGCACCCCAGTTGGCAAATTTGGATAAAGCAGGTCTGACCTGTGAACAAAAGAAATGGGCAGGAACAAGAGCTAAAGAGCTGCTGAGGGCACAGAAGGGGGAGCCTAGGAGAGGGCTGATCTTGGAGGGTTGCTTCCAGCAGGACTTGGGACCTCTCTGCTCCCTCCACCTGCACTGGGACTGACACTTATTGCAAAGCTATAGGCCAAGTGGCCAGCCAGCAGCCCATGCTGACTTCTTTCTAGGAAGGATCTATGTACCTATCGGCTCCTAGACACCTACTCCCTTCTGGATCCTCCCAATAAAACACAGGTACATTCCCATTTTGAAATCCCAGAGAACTTCTATTGAAATCAGACTTCTTTCTGTTCATAACCTCAAAACAGCTACAGCCATCCTGGATCTAGCTAGAGCAAATCCATAGCCCCCTTACAGGGCTTCAGCCTTGCCATGTTTGCCCTTTCCTCATCGTCTGAAATGAACCTCCAATTTCAGTGATCTGTGCAAGTCTTCCTGTCGGTCCTCCAGAGATGAAGGGGTGCCACCTATACAGCCTCTTCTATGTAAGGAGCACTTCCAAGTCAATCCTCTGTTAGTCTTCCATAATCCAATGAGTGCAGGAAAACCTCCACCACAGGTAAGCATACTGGCGTGCTGGGGGAACAGTGTACCCAAGGGAACATAGGTAATGAGAGACACTGGAGCCCCGTGCAACTCTTCCCACCTCACCATGCAGCAGATGTGCCTTGCCTGGCCCTTTTCTGGAGCCTTCCTATGCCATGGGGATGAGAAAGGACAGTGAGACCCACAGCAAGTACTAGTCCTCTATCCCATGTTGAAACTCACAGTTTCCTTGGGAGAGCCTCAAAAGATAGCCCTCACATTATTCAGCCTCCTGCTGAATAGGAATTGCCCAGCCTCCTTCTGCTCAAAAGAAGGAAACTTCTATGTGGCTAAGGAGTCAAGAGCAACCACTGACCAAAGGAAAAAAATGTCACAAACCACCTGGCTATGCTCCCAAGTATTCTTGTGACTATGTCTATGAGCAGCTTGGATTAAAGCTTCTGCCCTAACCCTGAATGACACCAGGCTATGGCCCATCTCCAAAAACCCAGCCTCAGCCTGTTTACCTGGTCTCCGAAAGCCATCTGCTCTTGACAGCCCCTGGCCTCCTGCCTGGACCATTTCTTTCTGACTCTGCTCAGCACTGATAGCACCCCTATACTCCTGCAATTGCAGTGCAAATCTCTCTCCCCTGCCCTGGAACAGAAAGACCTTCAGCAAGCTCTGGGAAACCCCTGAGAAGATATAAACTCTCATGAAAAATGAAAATTCTCTTTGGAAGGGCAGAGCGGGGCCAAGCTGAAGACCCACTGAGGCCACTATCCTGAAACACAATGCTGGGAACCACTCCTTTGGGTCACAATGGTGGGCAAAAGCATGGGGAAGGCAGATCTGCAAATGCTACCCTCTCCCCTATCCCTGATTAGTATCCTCAGATATATGATGCTGGATGCACCAGCCAGAGGCAAAGTGCACATCTGGGGATTTCCACTTAACTTTACGTACTCTGAGTAGTGCTACTGTATACAGTAATTTAAAAGGCTACACTCCTGCCTTGTACTCACTGTGGTTTACTCTGTTGTCACTTGCTTGCCTTAGGGACACTTGTTAAGCATAAATACACTGAACTAATTCTTTTTTTTGGTACCAGGGTTCAAACTTGGGACCTTGCACTTGCAAGGCAGGCAGGGGTGAACTATTTAATGCTTTCACCTTTACCTGTCTTTGCTGCCCTGGTGTACTCTACAACCACCACTCCCCCTTTATTGGAAGGCTAGGGGGTTTTTTGGGTTTTTTTTTTTTTTTTTTTTTTTTTTTGTACCAGGGATTGAACTCGGGTCCTTAACACTTGCAAGATAGGCGATGGAACCACTGAGCTAAATCCCTGGCCTGGAAGGCTGGCTTTTAAATGGCCACCCTATAGCTTTGCCTCCTTTCCAGGGAGGATCAGAAGGAACCAATCTCTTTAGGAAGGCTGTGTAGAGTTACGTGCAAATAGGGTTGCTGCAGATGTAATTAGTTATGATGAGTTTCTCAGGGTGGTTTTCATTTCAACAGGACTGTGTCCTTATGAGGATTTGGGCATATGAAAACAGAGGTACACAGGAAGAATTCAGCTGAGTGAAAACAGAGGCAGAGATGGAAGGAATGCAGCTACAGACAGAGGAGTACCAAGGGCATACTACAAGAGGGGTTTATTCCCCAGAGCTTTCATAGAGAAATAGCCCTACAGACTTCTGGCTTCTACACCTTTGAGATGATTTCTGTTGTTTTAAACCACAGTCTGTGACTTGTTACAGCAGCCATAGGAGACTAATGCATGCAGGGCCTGAGCCAAGCGACTCAGGACACTAGGGCCCAAAACATTCTAGAGGGAACTGCTGGAATAGGATCTGACTCAGTGAATATGGAATCTGAAAATCAAGTTCAGTGCTTGACCTAGATCCAGAGATTTGTGCCTCTGCTTAAAAGATTGTTAGTAAAATTAGAAACTGAACAAAATTTGTAAGACTTCAAATACAGCTGGGTGTGGGGGTGCACACCTTCAATTCCAGCACTCAGGAGGCTGAGGCAGCAGGATTGCTATGAGTTCAAGGTTGACCTGGACTACACAGTGAGTTCAGGACCAGCCTGGAATACACAGAGAGACCTTGTCCCACAGGAAAGAAAAAAAAAAAAGAGAGAGAGAGAGAGAGAGAGATTTCAAATACAAACTGTTCTTGGTAATACACAGCTGTTTTGTGTCCTTGCTGTTCTGTGGTTTGGCCTCCCTACATCTGAATGGGGTTCCTTCTAAGCCTGTGCCTCTTCTATGGGCTCCCCAGTACTCTAGCCTCTAATTACATCATGGCCCTACTTGGCTCCTCTTCACCTACAGCATCTCTTTGACAAGGCCTGCACCTCACCTGTCTGGAATGTCCGTGGTGCCTCGGTCCCCTCCGCTCCCTGCAGGTCCAGGACCCATGGCTCCTGTCCCTGCTCCAGTCGGGAGATCAGCTCAGGCTTGAAGACCAGGAATCCTGCTGTGTGTGCAGCAAAGAAGAAGATGCTGGAAGCTGGCCCTGGTCTCCAGGTGTGGTGGACAGGGGCTGCCAGCACAGGCAGACCCTCATGGAGGGTGCAGATGCACTCCATAGTCCCTTCCACCCAGGTGTGTCCAGTTCCCCAGGCTGCATACAGTGAAGGGCACCCCAACTTCTATAATCTCAAGGGGACTAGGTCATCAAAGAGTCTACAAAGGACAGGCTTCTCTACCCTGGGCAGAAAGGAAGGACATGAGGAAGTCCCAGTCCTAGCCAGCGTCTCATTCAGCAGAGCCAGGGCTATGCAAGACTCTTTCAGCTCAGAGGGCTAGGCTGCCACAAAAGGTAGATGGTAAACAAACAAGATTTAAAAACAACAAAAATAGGGCCGGGGATTTAGCTCAGTGGTTCTAGCGCCTGCCTTGTAAGCATGAGGACCTGAGTTTGATCCCCAGTACTAAAATAAATAAATAAAAACAACAAAAATAGATAATCAAATGAAACAGATTTCAAATAAGGCTCCGAGATCCAGTCCTCAGCTTTGGCCTCCCAGGCTCAGCCCTTGAATAATGACCCTGCAAGAGACTGTGGAATAGTGGACACCTGTGGGCATATCCCTAGTACCTCACTTTTGGGGGCTACCAGCCTCCATACTGTGCAGCAGCCCCAAACCCCCTTTACAGCCTGTCAATATAAGGAGGAGCATCTGACCAAAAGCAGTCAAGCCCTTGGGTTTGAAGCTTCTTTCTGGCAAGGCAAGCAGAGGTCCCAAAGGCCCAAAGCAATAGTTTCAAGCCCTCACAGCAGGATCCTACACTCAACAGTATACTGAAACTGTATTCTCTCCAAGTGCAAGTGGATCTGGGAAATATCCTTAGGTATAGACACAGGGGAATATGACTATACCAAAGAACATATACCCAGCCCAGTGCTATTCATTATTAAAATAACCACCAAAAGGCAGCTCATAAGCTGTTAGTTACTTGGAAACTAAGTGATGAATCACTAAGTGATTCTAAATGATACAAAAGACAAGAAAGGATTGTTCCTCGGAGCCGTTCAGTGGTATATGGTCCTGCAGACTTCTAGCCATAAGTCAAAATTCGTAGAATGAGGTCAAAGTAGTATGTAAAGATAAAATTTTATATTTTAAAATACACTTACTAACAATAAGAAAAGTAAAACACATATGTGGTAAATATTAAACTCAGGCAATTGGAAAGAAAACAGCACAACAAACCCAAATAAACAGAAAGGAAGAAAATAATAAAAATGGGATACGAATCAACAAAAAAGGAAGCAAAGACATTTCCTACCTCCATCCACCAAAAGATTAGCAAAACCAAAAGCAGGTTCTTTGAGAAGATGAACATGTTTGTTTTGTGGCAAAAGTTGTCCAGGTCAACACAGTGAAAAGATATTGCCAAAAAAACAAAGCAAGTAAAAATCCAGAGCTGAGTGAAACATGAAACATTAAGGGAACATAAATGCTGCTAAGGCATTTCCCCAAAGCCTAGATGGTTTTGCAGCAAGCTCTACCACAAGCATGAAGAGTCCATTAACTCCATCTCTATAAACTCTAGAAATTAAATAAAACCAGGGAGGGTTGGAGATGCAACTCAATGGTAGAGCATTTACCTATCACATCTGAGGACCTGGGTTAATGGCCAGACCCATAAATGAATAAATTAATGAATAAATGATAGTGAAACCTGCCCAGCTAGTTTTATGAAGCTTGCATGCCAAAAACCATTTGCCAAAAATGTCAAAATTACCTAAAGGTAATATACAAAAGTAACTAAGACCACTTGAATATAGATATAAGACCATTATGAATACAGATATAAAAATCCAAAATATAATACTGACTGTTACAAAAACCTGTCAAAACTTACATGTAAAGATCATTATTTAAGTAGGAATTATTCCAGGAATTTAAAAATACAATGTAATTTACTACACTAATAAAGAAAAAAAATCAGATGAGTGTCACACTTGATGCAGAAAAAAATTTTGAAATCCAATGCTTATTGATTATAAGCAAAACAAATAACCTTAGTCAGCTTCTGTGCTTAGATGGACACCTTTCCCTTAAAATGAGGAACAGAGCTGCATGTGGTAACTCATACCTGTAAGGATAGCACCCTGGGAAGCTGAGGCAGGGGGACCTCAGTTTCAAGCCCAGCCTGAGAAACTTAGTGAAGCAAGACACCGTCTTAAAATTAAAAATAAAAGCTGGGAGTTGGGTAAGGTGGTGCATGCCTGTAATCCCAGCACTCAGGAGGCTGAGGCAGAAGGACTGCCATGAGTTTGAGGCCAGCCTGGGCTACACAGTGATATCTTGTCTCAAAAATACTAAAAATAAATAAAATGTCAGGGGTGTAGCAAAGGCCCTAGGTTCAATCTCCAGTACAATCAATTGATCAAATGAGAAACACAGGAACACATCCACAAGGCCATTGTTTAACATAATCCTGGCCACTGCTGAGGTAGAGGCAAGAAGAGGAAGAGCTAGAAGTTCCTGAGAACACAGTGGAATAAATATCAACACTGAACTAAGCAAGCTAGCTCCACAAAGTTGCCAAACACAGTATCAGCCCTCCAAAATCAATAATGTCTTTATTTATTTATTTACTTTTTGGTACTGGGATTGAATTTGGGTTCTTGTGCTTGTGAGGCAGGCGGCAGAACCACTGAGCTAAATACCCAGTCCAACAGTGTCTTTATAAAAGCAGTAATCAGCTAAAAATATAATGATCTAAAAAGCATTAAACACAGTGTGATGGCACAAACCTTTAATTCCAATTACTAGGGAGGCTGAAACACGAAGATGACAAATTCAAGGTTAGCTTGGGCAGTTTAATGAGGAAGAAAAAAAATACCACAAAACCAAAGCAACAAAGCAGGTACATATAAAGCTAAACAAAAAGCATGGAAAGGAACACAGTGCTGAAACATTTTATAAATAAATATTATCAACAGGAAAAGAAGATTGTGAGCTGGGTGTGGTGGTACATGCTTTAACTTAAATACTGGTAAGCTAAGGAAAGATGATTGCAAGCTCAAGCCCAGCTGGGGCAACTTAGAGAGATTCTGTTTTAAAATAATAAAAAATGAGAAAGAAAGAGATAAGTAAAAGATTTAAGATGTGTTATATACATGTGCCAACTCCCCACAAAGAATGTAAAAATATGTGCCAGAAACATGTACCGATAAAAATTAAAATTAAATTTAAATTTAGCTCAGTGGCACTGTGCCTTCCTTGCAGGCTCAAAGTCCTGAGTTCGATCTCTGGTACCAAAACAATAACAACAACAACAAATTTTTTTGGTACCAGGGACTGAAGTCAGGATCTTGCGCTTGTGAGGCAGGTAGGTGGCAGAACAACTGAGCTAAATCCCCGGCCCAACAACAAAAAATTTAAAAAATAAAATAAACAGTAGGGGAAGTAACTCAGTGTGAAGGCCCTGGGTTCAAAAGGAGATTATTTAGATAGTTTCGGAGAAACAACTGTTCAGGCAAAACATCAGAAAGCTGGACTTTGCCAGACTTGCTGGGATGAAGGATGCAGGCTTGGTCCAGCACTCTGACAAGCCCCTAGTCAACCAGCTATACCCTCACCTACCCTACTCCTCCTTCCCTCTCCTAGGCACTCTCTCAGGTGACAAGAATGCTCTTGGGTTGTAGGGCTGGAGAGGACTTTGGCCCAATGCAACAGAGGATTTGGAAATAACTGAAAGGCACAACAAGGAGTGAGCTGGATCCCCACTGTTTCTACAATGTTGAAACCCAATAAGAGAACTGTGTTTCAAGGACACATACCCAACGATGGATATGAAGTGTGCTGCATGGGTCGGTGGGGTTGGGAGAGGAAGACTGATAGCAAGACAGGAGCTAAAAAAGGATGCCTGCTGCCATCTCCAAAACACCCCCAGGGTATTAGTGCCACCTAGGCTTTGGTTTTACAACCACTTCTATGGGTTCCTTGAGACAATTTTTCTGTCTAAGGTATTTCAGATTTTTGTCTACTTCTTGCACACTAATTTATCTTAGGAAAAAAGGAAGCTTTATTAGCTCCTAGAATTCTACCTAGCCAGTGGGAACTGAGTCACTTCACTTTTGCAAAACCTGGAGCTCACTAAACAGCCTCAAGGCTGCTGTTTAGCCCACCAGTGCCTGAGCACTCAGCCTCAGTGTCCCCAGCCTCTGACAGATGCCTGTTAGGATGTGTGCTAACACATAGCACAGAGGACAGAGTCCCCAGGTGCAGCCTCACCTAGTCCAGCAACACTGCTGTGGTTCTCCAGCATCACCTCCCTGTAGAGGGCCCTCTGGCCAGAATCCAGACATTGCCACTCTTCCCGGGAAAAGTGCACAGCCACATCGCCAAATGTCACCGCCTCCTGAAAGGACATACACCAGTCTCCCAGGGATTCCTAGGGGGGGATCAGCCCCATTTTGGTGCCACATCATGGCACTTCTCAGATAGGCGCACCATAGGGTTGATGGGCAAGTTATCTGGCTCCTTTGGCTCTAAAGTCCTACCTAGGAAAGGGGAACTGTTGAGGGAAGAAGGGACCCAGTCCACAGTGACCTTAACACACCCCAGAGCCTCAAATGGGCCCTGGCCTTGGCAGAGGTTTGCTCACTGCCTTGGAGATGGGAACAAAGGGGCTTTCCTGAGCCTGGTATAGGCCACAATGAGGGCCAAGGCTGTGACTGGGTAGAGGTCCAACGTCCAAGGTTCCCACATCATGGGACACATGAGGAAATGGAAACAGGCAGGCTCCCTACCATGAGTTCCACAGGTAGGCCTCCACTTGTGCTGGCTGAGACACCTGTTGGAAATTATGAAACAGGTCAGAGGTCAGGGTGCTAGAAGCTGCCTATCTTCTAGGATAAGTGAATAGGTACAGCATTCCCTGCTCCCATCCCAGACCCTACTACTTTTTAAAGACAGGGTGGTTGACTGAAGCAGCTCTGGTACCTGAGTATATGCCCCTTAAAGCTTCAATCTGTATGTGTGATGTGTGAATCATTCCAGAAACACAATGGGAGGGGCTGCCATGTGCCACACATTCAACTAAATAATTGGAAGGCAACAATGAAGGTACAAGGATGAAGCCTTCATGGAGCAGTCTAGTGGAGGGAAGTCAAATATCCACAGATTATAATGATGATAGTGCTCAGGGGAACTAGGAAGCCTTTAAACTAGAAAGCTGATAGAAGAGTCACTTCCTTAGGGACCTAGGCCAAGGAGATGTTGGTAGGGAGAGCCCTACAGGCAGCAGGAACATGTGCAACGGGCCTGGGGTAAGCAAAAGCTAAGTGAGCCAGTGTGTGTGGATCACAGGCAGCAAGAGCAAGGAACGACTGAAGATGGAGCAGATAGGAGACACAACTGTGGGCTGCAGAGGTCAGGATCTGATCTGATGCAGGAACCCTACTCCCAAGTCCTAAAAACACGTGGCGTGGCCACAGCTAGCCTATCACCAGGATGGCATCAGCTAATGGGTGTAATCTGATGAAGATCATCCACCTCAGCTGAACCAATGACGTCAGACCCCTCTGTAAGCACTCCCTGGGAGGTCCCAATGGGAAGCAGCCACCTTCCAAGGTAAGCTTGTGACACAGACTGCGGGCCCCAGGCTACTGAAATACGGAGGTTGGTCCTAGCAGTTGTAAATACTGGAGAAAGATTCCCACCCTGCTCCTGGGCAGCAGGAATGCATCTGCAGAGCTGGAGGACCTTGGGTCCGTGGCAGAGAAGGGCAGGCCTGGGAGGCAGACAGAATTCAAAAGACCAACCGCCTATCCCACCCAAAGCACCACCGTTTTTCCAGCTGTCACTGATTCTAAGCCTTCTAAGGGGCAGAAAGTGACAAGAAAAGACAGGGTCCTAGAAAGTGATTATGCAGGGAAGACAGGGACCCCCGGCCTGGATAAGGCCACAGTTAGCGCTCGCCTTACTCAGGCCCAAGACCGGAGCCGGCGGGCGGAGGATCCACAAGGCTCGAGCACTCGACTCCTTCCATTCGCCGATGCTGGCTTGTGTGGCCGCTGCCCAACCAGGTCCTCCGCCAGGTGCTCACTGCGGCTCCGGACCTCCCGCGACATCTGCGCTCCCGGGTGTAGAGGCCACTGGCCACTTTGCCTGAGGGCGGGGAGACAAGACCAAGCACACGGAGCCGACTCACCCTCCCCCGTGGCCAGCCTGAGGCCCGCCGAGGTCCGTTCCGCGCGACGCCGCCGGAAACGGGCCTCGGGCGCCCGCCCCACCTCGCAGACTTCCGGCCGTTCTGGTCCACGCGGAGGCCCGGTCGTCTCAATGGTTCTCAGCCTTGTCTCTCGGGTAGGGGCGAAAATGGAGCAGGCAGAGACCAAAAGAGAGCCCGACGCCCGAGCTGAGGTGGGCGGGGCTGCATCACGGGGTGAGGTGGGCCTGAGCCCCAGGAGGACCGAGATGGACTTGGGCGGTAGGCAGTGGGCGTGGCCTGACCCGACTCCCTGGCTGCGGATCCTGCACCCGTTTAAGGGTGGTTGGGTTCACCCTCGCTCATTTCCCATCCCACACCCTCCCTATGTAACGCTGCAGAACCAGAGCGCCCCACAGCTTCAGGGAGCCATTCTGCTTCGGGCCTCCTGAACGGCCCTGTGTGGCTCCTGTCGTCGTCGAAAGATGCTGGCGCTCTTGAGGCTTTAAACTAGAGGCACACCTAGCAATAATGATCAAATACTCGAGTCACTGCCAGCCAATGGCTTCTGTAGCAGTCAGCTTTCACCTTCTCAGGGGGACCCGGTGAAAAACAAACTAGAACTCCTGCCCAGGGGTGCTGAGGCCCCAGCAGCTCTCTGCCCAGGACTGGGAGCCACACAAGTCCTAATGTGATGGGGGAAAATAACTCCCAACCTGTACGATGTGAGATGTGCTGAGTTCATGTCTCTTGATGGCAAAGAATGAATTTCGAGGACAAAGGAAAAGTTTATTGAGAGAAAGCTCCTGAGAGACAGGAGGGGTCCTGAAAGTGGGTTGCCGCTGAGTTTCTTTGTCCAGGAATATTTTATACAGGAAAATCAAAACATGGGTACAACGTGGGTAAAACTACAGGTATAGTCACTTAGCTAATATTGATCTAATAGGGAAGTGAGGCACATAGTAAGGATTCTGTACATGGCAAGTGTCATTAATTTTAGTTTATAATTTAGAACACAGAACAAAGGCATTCCTGGAAAGGGATGAGACAGTGTCTGGATGTTCTAGTCACTCACCTAGATGCCCTGTCTTAGCTCAGTGGACCAGGCAGCACTAGTTACAGTATAATCTCTAGCTAATGTTTATTTCTAGGAAGGCTGGTAGACTTGGCTTTTCCATCTCCGTCTTGAGGTCTCACTTTCTTCAGATTCACCTCTAGCCACAATTTTGATGTGTTTCATCTTCTGCACTGACTCCCTCAAGGACCTGATCCCTGTGTGATTCCCAATTAATTTTGTATCTAATGTAACTGCATATAATACTAAGACCTTCTTTCTTTGGAACCCCCATCTGAGGATGGTTTGAGGAATTCCCTTGTTGGAATCCCCTGCTTTCTGGGTGCCTTTGGCCTCAAGTTCAACCAGACAGTGTTCTGAAGTTAAGAACCATGCTGCATGCATATCACTCCCCAAGAACAATGGAGACATTTTTGGTGGGAAGGGAAAAAAAAGTTTATTCAAAGTTGGCCCTGACTGATGGGGATTTAGCTCAGTGGTTCCTTTGCCTGCCTGGCAAGCACAAGGTCCTGAGTTTGATACCTGATACCAAAAACAAAAGCTGAAACTTTTGGGCTGGGGATTTAGCTCAGTGGTTCCACTACCTGCTTCACGAGAGCAAGGTCCCAAGTTTGATCCCTGGTACCACAAACAAAGTTAGCTCTGACTGATTCAGAGAAACCTTTTTTTTTTTTTTTTTTTTTTTTTTGGTACCAGGGATTGAACTCAGGTCCCTGTGCTTGCGCAGACAGCGGAACCAGTGAGCTAAATCTCCAACCCTCAGAGAGGCCTCTTGCTCCCTCCAAGCTCTATCTTCCTGTACTCAGGTGTGCACAGGGTTTTTATTGTTAGGAAGAGTGGAGAAACAGTGAGATAATAGACAGGAGTTCTGTGCTAGGATAGGGCTTTTCTCAGCAGTGGATGATTTCCTCTTGGCCATTCTTGGCTCCTTCATCTCCCTTGTCAAAAGGAAACCAGATCTTGACCTCTTGGGAGCAGTTCTTGCATTTTTTTTCAAACAGATGGGGCTACATTTTTGCAAGTCTATTCATATGAGCTGGAAAGGGGCTGTTTAAAGAAGCTTCTCTTTAAAAATTAGAATTTTTTTAAAAAAGCTGTTAGAGGACTAGGAAAAGTTTTGGGAAGGGAGGATGCTCTATTGAAATTTCTTTGTTTTTTTGAAACAAGTTTTCACCATGTAATTGAGCTAGCCTTGAACTCACTTGTAGCCCAGCCTGGCCTCAAAGTCATGGTGATCCTTCTGCTACGGCCTCCCAAGTCCTGAGATCACAATCATGTGCCACTACACCTGGCTTCAAAAACTTACTTTTATTTTTATTTTTTATTTTTGGTACTGGGGGTCAAACTCAGGACCTTGTGCTTGTGAGGCAGGTGGTGGCACCACTGAGCTAAATCCCTGGCCCAAAAACTTTTTTTTTTTAGAAAGCAGACATTACAATAGAACCAGGTTCAAAATTCTAAATATTCTTGGACAAATCCCAACTAGAAAGCACTTTCTGTATCCTAGCAGGCACCTAGATCAATGCTGCTTTCAATAGATAAGGACACCTTTGGACAGGCACAAGTCTTGCGGTTATTAAAATGCACTGGGATTTGCTTTAGTTGGGTGTGAGACATGCAAACACAAACAACTGTCATGAAGTAAAAGTTTATGGTCACAGGCCCCAAGAAACAATAGAAAGGTGTTGTGGTTTGTACCTGGAATGTCACCCAAAGGCCATTTGCTGGGGGCTTGTTTGCTAGCCGATGGGCTTTTGGCAGGTGATTGAATCAGGAAGATTCTAACTTCATTAGCCAATCAATCCATTAGGACTAAGGATAGATGCTGGATCCCTGTCTTCCTGGTATAGATATACTGATTGTCAGCCACCAGCTTTTATAATTTCCTATTCCAGATCATGGTTGTGGCATATAAAAATCTCCAGTCATTGGCCTAAACCAGAAAGAGGGTCCAACTATTTACCTAACGCTATCTTGCCTTCTGACTTGTTCTGCTCTGAGTCTTTCTTATGGTCACCTTGGATTCCAACAATGATAAATATCTTGTGATAAGAGTCAAACTACCCCCAGCAGCAGCTAGTTTCTTCCTCCACCAAGACTCCACATGGCTGACCTAGGTAATAACCAACCAGTACATGACATAAGCCTGCCAATTTATGAAACAAGCCCAAACCTTACTTCCCTATGAAATCCCCAGGTTATTCTTTCTTCCCTATAAAGCCCCAAGATTATTGTTAGCACCTCAGAGAGACAGACCTTCAGTCACAATATAGGAAACCCCCCCCCCAAAAAAGTGGCCTATTTTCAGGATAAGGTCTTTAGTCTCCAGATATGACTGTGGTCACACATCTGAGAGGGTCTCTAAGCAAAGTGGGGGAGATAAATAGTCAAGTATGGAATTCATTATGCTAATTCTGACTGCAGAATGACTTGCAGTTAACCACAAAAAGTTTTTTTTGGGGGGGTGCTCATAAAGCAGACTGTAACCTCTGAGTACTGGGACAATGAGGAAAGGGAGAGAAAACTTCAGGTTAAGGTTTAAATTGCTCTTTGTGACCACTCTGAGGGGGGTCACTTTATTAGTTGGGCTGTACCCTATTCATGTGAGAACAAGAAATAAAAGTCTTGTTTTTGCTGTTCATTCTGCTTCTGAAGTCCATTCATTGGGTCTGGGCAAGTAAAGTCATTTCTCACAATGAGACAGCTTTTCCTTTGCAGTGTGGCCACACTGAGAGTAAGATCATTTCTTGCTACTTGCCTCCTGTTTGGTCACTTGGGCAAGCCTGGTAGATTGGGATCCCTGAGTTGGGCCTCTGGCCTAGAACTTGGTAACAGTCACACAGCCACTATGTTGAATAGATGTTTCCTACAAAGGAACTGTCACTGCTTTGCAACAAATCAGCACTGCCAGTTTATTTAAGCTCTCACTTTCCCTGCCTATTGAGGAACACTGATTTAGAGCTATCTAAACCTGTATCTCCAGGGTCAATTCCTAAGCCCCCCAAATTAAGTTCCTTTAGTTTTATAGTTTCTGAGCTTGAATTGATTGACAAGGTCAAGTCAGCAGAACACTGAAAAATGTCCACTGGTTTTATCAACAGGAAGATCATTGGTGTAAAGAACAGTTCAGACAGGGTGCCCTAAGAATCTTGGATGTTTCCACAAAGGCTTCTGGGTAAGGGTTAAGCACACAGCCTGCCTAGAGTTTTGGCAAAATGCCCTAGGCTCCTCCAGGAACAAAAGGAGCCAATTAGGCAATGTATCCCTCCCAGTCTGGTTTCTCTGACTCTGGAAGTTCCTACCCTGCTTCCTCTGGAGATACCACACCACCTGGTGGCAGTTTGGGGTTGTAGTCCCCAGCAGCAGAGAGACGCTATCTCTGCTTTCTGTCATCTGGCCCCTCTGGTTTACTGTCATTCTGTGGGTTTAGACACAGGTTGCTGTTGCTCATACTATTATAGACAGTTGAGTTCAAAAGAAATATTATACGCAGTCAGATAGGGTTAGGTCCTGGAGAGTGTCAGGACGAAGGTGAAACACCACAGCTGCAGCCTGAGACATATCTATTGGAAACTGGACCTGAGACATATCTATTGGAAACTGGACCACCAGATAAAGACAAGATGACCAGACCTGCATACTTCCTCAGAGGACAAACACTAGGCCTAATGAGATTTAGATAGTCCACAGATTCTGTGCTAGTCTGTCTGTTTGTTTTGCTTTGTTTTTTAGTACCGGAGATCGAACTTGGGTCCTTGCGCTTGTGAAGCAGGCACCGGAAACACTGAGCTAAATCCCAGGCCCGATTCTGTGCTAGTCTGGCTTGCCACCCTCCCAAGGATTTGGTCAGTAATGATCGAAAAGGTTGTAGATGCTTTCTTCCTTCCTCTCTCCTTCCTTCCCTTCGCTTCTTCCTCTTTTCCTCCTCTTCCTCCTTCTTCTCCTCCCCTCCCCACCTTCTTTCTGCCAGCATCTTCACACTGAGCAGCATCCCCAGCCCATTTTTTCTTCTCATTTTGGGACAGGGATTCACTAAATTTTCCAGACTGGGCTTAAACTTGCCTCAGACTTCCAGAGTTCTAGGATTGCAGGCCTGTGCCACCAAGAGTGTTTTAGACTGTGTTTCTTACTTACTCAGCCACAGCAAGAATGGTGTTGATACAGGAAATAATACTAGAGATGAAATAGATGAAATATTATATTTCCCAACCTGTTAGCTGAGCTCTTATTCCCTAAAAATCAAAGAATGAATTTTGAATGAATTCTAGGAAGAACAGAAGGTAAGAGTAGGATGATATTTATTGATA